GTATTCAGGTGGAGCTCCGAACCGCAGCCGCAGCCCCTCCCCAAGACAGCCTGGGGGCAAGTCGCCCCTTTCCCTGCTTTGCGGTGAGGCGGACTGACAGGCTGGCTGCTCTGCTCAGCAATAAAATTCTTTAAAATTAGACATAAAATATTTAAATTCAAATTGTTTCAGCTTTAAGGCGGGCAAATGTATTTATACTTCCTTTTGCTTTTGCTTCCATTTAGATTTGCATTTTATTGCAATTTGTTTGATATTTGCTGCTGCTGCTCTTGTCCTGCACATAAATTCCCGTTTCATTTTATTTTATTTTATGTTATTTTATGCATTTGCCTTTTATTACCCTGCCCTAGCAACAGGCAATGGAGGTCCCCCATTGCCCCTCCGGGCTACTCCCCGATCTTTCGAAGGTATTCGGGCATACCCGCAGTAGGGCGAGTACGAGCATATCCCTTGCCACTTTCCTTTCTGTTCCGGCTCAACAAATGATAATTTATGCAAATGTCGGTAGTCCCGTAGAACAAGACAAAAAAATCGCTGAGGGTTGCAACAAAAAGCCTCCCAAATTTCGTGGAGGGAGTCCCATTGCCATTCACGGTACCGTTCTCGTTCTCGTCCTCGTCCTCGTCGTCGTCGTCGTTCCCGATACCATTTTCCATTTCCATTACCACTGCCCCGAAATTCCCATTTTAGTTTGCTTTTCCATCTCCGCCTGACTTCCCCTCTTCGGCGGGGGCTTCTTTGTGCTGACATGCTTTTGTCATTTATTTTGTTTATCTCTTTTACGCTCTGCTTTTTTACATACAAGAATAACAAATTATTATTATGTTTTAGCCATTTCTCGCTGATCCAAGCGGTTCCAGGGGCCGGTAAATCACAAACTGCCGCCTAGGCAGTCGGGCAGGGCTTCGACCGTCGACCCTTTGGACCTGACATTTGCGGGTTTCCCTCCCCTCTCTCCACTGAGCTGCATTTGAGTAATGAGCTGCTTATCGAGATGGAGGGGCAAAAGGTATGTGCTCGCACATCCCTGCTGCTGGACGTTAATGATACGACTTCATCTTCTGTCTCTCGTGCCGTGCCCGACTGTATTTCATTTGGCATCATAAGCAGGGAAATTCTCGTTAAGCTGAGCTCAGCGATCGATCGCATAAATCGGGTGGCTGGGGACAAAGGTGCTTGCTTCAGATAAACTTGTGAATTATTCAACTAGGAGTGGTTGAAATAACGAGTAAGAAACCACACGTAAATGGCACTGCCCCCGGGAGAGCGCTAAGTACGCGTTGCATGTGGAAATATTGATATTTTAATTGGCTTGGATACAGCATGCAGCCTTGAGGCTGAAAGTATTGGTCCATGAGCTCCAATCTATAGAACTCAGGCAGAAATGCTGCCTTCAAGGGGGAGCATCATACCAGCATCCATCAGTGGCACTCTGCCAAATTCTTACATTAGTTTCGTTTACTTTTCAATTGCCTCTCCATTTCGCATTTGCCATTTTCCCTTTTCCCTTTTCGCTGTAAGCTCTCTTCCTTGCACTAAGTAGCCAATTGACAACTACAAATTGAACATTTATTTTGCCAGCTCAAAGTGCAAGTGCGGAAGCGTGCAGAGGAGAAGGTTGGTTCTACATAGACGGGCAGAACAGAAACAGAAACAGAAACAGGGCCAAAGGTCTCAAGCCTCAAGTGGTTGGTGGTTGCTGGTTGGTCACCAGCCGACAAAGTGAGCAACTTGCAGTATAAACTACAACTACAACTCGTACTATCAACACAACAGCATCAACCGGAAGGAGTTTGAGCGAGTAGCAGCTAAAATAATAGAATTTTCCTCTAAATTTAGTCAAAGATGCCACAAAAATAAATAGCAGAAAGCGACCGACCCCGTATGAGTGCTTCAAGACTCTATGCAAATGTCTTAAACTTGGGAGAAGGACTATCGTCGTCGTCATCCTGGAAGTTTCCCACTCCTGGAGTGCCGCCTAACAAGAAGACCTAGACCGAGCCCGAAAGGACCCTCGTCATACTCGAATCCTTTGTTTATTTGTTTACTCTTTGCCATTTTCCTGCATGCAAGTTTCCCCATCTATTTCCATGATTCTTTTTCTTTTGGTTGTCATTATTTTTTTTTGGTTTTGGTTTTTTCCCTTTGCCATGAATATTTTCATATTTTCATGTGACCACTTTGAGTTTTCCTGCATGTGACTGAGTGCTCAGTTTCCACTAAGGCTCCTGCCCGGGCCTTATCCCGGCAATTGTGTGGAAAACTTTCGGCTTCTGCTGCCTTCCTTTCTAGCTCAGAGGACGCATGTGTCGGGCCATGTTATTTAATAGGCTTTTGTGACTCGAAAGACGAGCACAACGAAGCACCAAATGGCTGGGAATGCGGCACAGTGGAAGGCATCGAGGCTCGAAATGTTGGGGGGATACCTTCATGGACTTTTTAGGGACACTTGATGATCAGAGGATAAACTATTCCAAGTTTTTCTGTCTAAAATGGACTCTACACTGGCATTTATTTATTTTTGATAATTATTCTTATTTTCAATTATTTCCATGCAACGTAGATGAAAAGATTTTCCAACACATCTTCCTGTGTATCCCACTGTGTCCTCTTCTATGTTTGCCTATCACAACTCTCCCTCACTCGCTTTCTCTCTTTCTCTCTCTCTCTCTCTCTCAATCTCACTCTCAACACCCCATGTTTGTTCTGTCTGTCTGGGAGTCCTGCTCTGCCTTTTGGAGTCGTCTACATGTGTCTTCCATGGCCATGCGATGTCGTTTTCTTTCGAGCAGCACAGACAGCACCCGACCCTAGGCAGCGCTTCCTCCATGTTCCCTTTTTGTATGCACAGTGGCTGCTGTTTTGGTAATGCGTTTAGATTATTAAACATATTTTCTGATGCCTGACAAATGGCAGGACAAACGATGGAAAACTTTCTGGCAAACAGACACAGACCGACTTTCGCTCTCTGCAAATGTTTACGGCTGTTTCTGTCTTCTTTTGGCAATTAAAGAAAAAGAATAGAACTCCTTCCCGCCAAGGAGGAGTAACTTTGTCGGCGTTAGGTGTTCGATAAAGAGGAGGAACAGGAACAGTCGGCTGTATGTAGGTCAGGCCATTAAAATGGCAACAGACACAACCACAAAATATATCCACAACGAGTATAGCACACACCCCCAAAGTAGATTTATGGGTGTGTATGTGCATATGGCTTCCTGTTCCTTGTTTAATCGTTAAAGGAACCCATGGGTTTTCTTTCGGTGCGTAGTTAAAGTTGTTGTATGCGTTGACACACGATATACGGAAGGGGGAAAGGGGCAACATCACCACACGCTCCCACCATCCATTCCACTCGTTGGGAGGGAGCCAGCCACCTGCTGTACACAGTAGCTGCCGACCCGACAAGCAAACACACTTTGGTTTGCTCTCCCAACTCGAGGCTCTACTCGACTCGACTCGACTCCAGGTCCCCTGGATAGCAGGAGGGTTAGAAGTTGTTGCTAAATGCTTTCTGATTGTTATTTTTCGTGTTTTCCCCCATTCCTTTGCTCTCCCTTCTCGATGTAGCTGCGAAATTACAATTATTACATGCCCCAATCCAAGTCTTCCGCTTCTTGCAGTTTGCTTCTGCTTCTGCTTCTACTCCGCCTTCCGCCTTCCACCTTCCTCCTTCCTCCTTCTCGCACAGGCCGAGAACATCCGAGAAACTTTGCTTCTTGCTACTTCTCGTGCAAATGCAAAATCTGGTAATGTAGGCGTGTTTAACACAAAACTTAAGTTGTTCGTAATGACTTTGCAGCGTTTTCGGAAGGAATGGGATTGAATCAGACGGAATGGAATGGAATGGCGGGGAGGGGAGGGGAGCCGCCGTAGGGCTACGGATGGGAAAGTGGAACTTTGGTGGGTGTCCTTAAAGCTGTGGTCGGTGGCAGGACTTAATGAAAAAAGTTTGCGACTGGAAAAGGACAACTCCACCGGAGAGAGTGGTCAAGGGAAAAGCTGGGACAAATAACAAACGAATGGGAGAGCCCAAAGGCCGTATACAAATTTCCATGATGAGAATTTTTTCAATGCAAAAATCGTATCAGGAAGAAAGTTAATGGAATCATCTCGTTCCCATTTATTTCATTATACATACATACATACATATATAGTAAGATCGGATAAGCATTGCTATTCGTTTCATTCGCTATTGGCTTTCAGTAAATATTCAAAATCGAAGCTATACAACAGACTTTCTAGTTCAAAATTTTAGACAACGCAAGTCTCATTTCCTGACAGCAAGCACCCATGGAAGACGACATAGAGTTCCTAATAAGCGCCCTATCCGAACCGAACTCAGCCCAGGAAATGCCTTACAGCGGGGAGAAGCTGCAGGAGATGCGGGACGCGTTCGTTGCCCTGCAGCAGCTGCTACGCAATAATCAATTGCAGGCGGCCATTGAAGCATCTCGGTCCATTCCGCGCTCCACAGCTGGGGGAGATCAGTCGGCTTTGAGCTCTGAAGAATCGCCTGAAAGCGAGCTGGACAGTGTTGCCTTGGGGTGCAGCTCGTTGGAAAGCGGAGCTTCCAGCTCCGAAGCGATTAGTCTGGAGTGCAAGGAAACAGATCTGGAGTGTCAGCTGATTCGGCGCAGGTGCAATTCCTGCTCTACCAATTTCGGGTACAACAAGAAGGCTGTGGATATGAGTGACCCGGACGGCGCAGTCATCGCCCAGAGGGTGCACACCTCCACGGTCTCCATCAGCCTGCCGGTGAAATTGGTTTGCCACAGATCGCACGGCCCGGACAGTGACACCACGATAACGGCTGATGGGATCTTGTACAGTCTCGCAGAATAGGCGCTCTTAGTCTAGTAGTAAGATATCTGAATCTGATAAGTGAGTTGGGAAGAAGAACTTTCAATGCGAAAAATCGTAAAAAGATTTGCTTCAAAATAAAATTCTAAATCCTAGAAGACTTCGCTTCATATACCAGCTGATTTTCGATCCCCTGCTCCGACACATAGGTCACATACTTTCAGTACATAAAGTGAAAACTCTCTGTATTTTGGTAGAAAATTTAATTTAAAAAAAAATACATTTTTCTGGATCAGCAAGCATGGAGGCAGATTTGGCGTTTCTCATAAACGCCTTGTCCATGCCGGACACACCGCTGACGAGGCCTCATAGCGAGGAGCAGCTACAGGAGATTCGCGAGTCCTTCATTTCCCTGCAGCGGCTGCTTCGCCATAATGCTTTGCCAGTAAACGAGTCCTCTTTGTGCATGCCGCGCTCCAAGGCTGGCGGAAACCTACCCCGGGAACAGTGTACGGTCTCGCCTGCGCTTCGGGCCCTGGAAGAGTCGCCTGTTCGCGGACAGGACAGCAGTTCCTTTTTGTCGTGCAGGGACAGGGAATCCAGCGACGAGGAGCGCAAGCAAACCGTGAGCCAGATTATCCGGGGCAGTGACACTTTCAGCTTCTGGAGCCTCAATGAGGACACATACGAAACGAGAACGGCTCTGGTTGGCGACGGAAGCTCCGATGTAATCGTTACTAGGCGGAAAACGCATTCCTCCAAGATCTCCATGAGCGCTCCAGTGGAGTTGGTTTGGAGCAACAGTGGCTACATTTCGCAGAGCACGGATAGCGACACCACAATTAAGCCTGACGGGCACAGGTTCATTCTTAGAAAATAGATCTTAGATCTGTCCATCCATACACATATCAAAATTGCTTCAATATTATAAATACAGTGTGGCTGAGATCACTTGCAGGAGGGGAGGGTCCTTCGTTATTATTTTACCGGACGAGTCGGTTGGGTGACAGGTGATCCAGCAACCATCGTCATCAAATTAGAACACATGACCTGACGGCGCCAGACGACCTTTTAATGAGCGAGCAAGTCGCAGCGCTTGCTCTCCACTCTCTGGCTGCCATAAAACTGCAAAAGTGATTAAAACGGAAATTTAATTGAAATGCGCACATTTGCGTAGGCATTCCCCATTTCCCCATTTCCCCATTTCCGCATGGCTGGGCTCGAAACACACTCTCAGATACACTCGCACAACACTCGTACTCTTCTCCTCTCCCCCACTCACAGATAGAATGCCGAATGTTTGCCTGCAAACAAAGTGCCTGAGCCTGCGGTCATTTGGCATGTACTACTACATATAAGTCCTCTGTCGGTCGGCCTTTTGACTACCATCAGAGAGGGAGATACTTTTACGGAGATATGTATGTATGTATATATTTTTGTTTTGAATTCAACGCTCTGCTGTATGTAATTTCAATATTTTTTGTTGCTGGCCGATTTGTTTGCGTGCGTGCAGCAATTTCCTCGACTACCGAAAAATCTAATTTAATTTCGAATGAAATTTGCCTTTGCCCTTTTGCCCATTGCCACTAACAGGGGGAGGGCTGGCAATTTTACATTTCCATTTCCACATCCATTTCTATTTCTATTTCTATTGAAATGTTCTCTCGGGTCTGAGCTGCACAGGTGAGGCCTTCGAGCAATTGGCTTTCGCTTTTGCTGCTTTTGATTTTCCTTTAGTGCCGTTTGCCCTTTTGTCAATGTTCGTTTCTGGGATGAGTGTCTCTATATGACCATTTATTGTTATGCATATTGAGCATCGGCATGTGCGGAATGAAATTCCCGCAAAGGAGTCGCCAATGCAATAAAATTGTTGTATGCCCAGCAATTAGTCGATGATAGTCGACGTGGGTATCCGAATGCCTGCTCAACATCGTATGAATTTCTCAAGCGGCTGAGTAGCAAATTTCTAAATGGTCGGCTCTTTTGGCTGCATTTTATTGCTTCAGATATAGTACAGATAATGCTTCGATTATCATTTCAGTGGGAATCTCTGTCGGGATGTGTGTTTCTTCGATTTTCGTGGTGTTTTCACAAGATTTCTCATTCACTTTCCTTGTACATATTTCTTCTTTCATCCATTCGACTTTCCTACCCTGCCTTGGCACATTCCGCCCTGCAGTGGGTTAGACACTGGCTCGTGTGGGCCATGTAATTGCAAATCCAATTAATTAACGAACTAGTCACAGCAAATGTGCTACTAAGTAAGACATAAATAGCACAAGACTAGGCACGCTACTTTGCACTCGTATCCAGCAAATGCACGTGCCGCTGGTATTCCTATTGCTCCGATGTCTGTCTGATAGTGTGTCCCGTCCCCGTCCCCGTCCCCAACCCCATTCCCATCCCCCTCCTTTACGATTTAAAGTGTCTCGGGTTGGGTTCAAGTGTGTGTTTCGGTCGGAGTGGGGGACGGAAGCATTTGCTTTTGGAGGTGCTCGCTGGAGGTAAGACGCTGCCAGCTCTGGTTGACAAATGCCCAAGAAATTACCGAGTAGTTCTTGGAAATGTTTGCTGATGGAGATGACTCTGATGCTGGCGGTGATGCTGTCATGGAAATTGAAAAGCGAAACTTCGAGCGAGTTGGTAAAATGCTGGGACCCTCCTGCTGCGAGTGGATGAACATCAATTTCACTTTAATGTTTCCGTGGTGCGCATTAAAAAACTTGAGCAAGAGAAATTATGCTAATAAATCGCCGCGACACGTGTCGTTGTACTCGCAGTCCCGTGTCCTGCTCCACTAATGGACGTGCGCCACGAAATATGCATCGAATATTTTTCAAACTGCCACATTGTTGCACTGCACTGCGCTGGATTATGAGCTGAGGCTCGGCCCGCCAGCCCAGCACGCGGTGTTTACACATCATTTACATAAAACGGGCAACAACTTTTTGCAATTTCTTAACGAACTGCGAGAGTAGGAAAACCAGCCCAACAAACTTGTTAATTATACTTGACTGGACGACAGAGCCAGCTCTATGGGCTGGCTTCGGTTCGTTTCCCTATCAAAAATACAACAAAAAAAGGTAGCTAGTCCTCCTCGCGTTGCTCAGTCAAGCTTTGATAATGGCAGAGGGTAAGGAGGAGCAGCTCGGCTGGGATTTGCCAGGACCTGCCCGCTTATGACGTGCTAGTAGAAACCATTAATCAAAGCTGCAGCGCCTGGGCTGGTCTCGCACGGCAGTTTTCCATTTTCCCATATATTTTTCGCTATCCAGACCGAGCACTTTTAACAACTCCAAATGGGAAGTTGTTGTTACCGATGTTCCGGGTTGGAGGAGGGAGAGGGGGAAGGTCGCGTGCGTAACATTAAGCCACGAAGGAAGGGGAATACCCCCGAACGGGAGTACGACCCTGAAATGATTGGCAGATTAAACAATTTGAGGGAAAGCGGAAAAAATATGTATTGCCTAATTGTAGTAATTAATGAGTTTAGTTTACAGTTTCGATGTGGTCTGACCCAGGTCTGGAGGGGCTAAACGAAATTATGCGATGATTAATAGCGATAGAGAATGGCCGAGGAATACGATAAATACGTTGAAATGATCTGACAGGAAGGAGGAGAAATAGGAGAATGGGATTGCTTAGTAAATTCCATTAAATAGATGGGGAAATCAACTAAAAGACAGAACGGATGCAATGCAATCAAATGGGTCCCTGCGGGAGCTCTGCTCAGGAGAATGATGTTTTCAATTTACCCAGATACTTGTGTTCGTTGAAAATCTACAATTACTATACTCGTAAATACGATTCCATCAAGCCGTTCCTCATAAGGGGATAAAAAGCCACTCAGTCAGCGCAGGCAGAACCCTTTGGACATGTCTGCTCGGGACTTGCTCCGGAAAAGGTACAATCCAAAATTTTAATTACATGCCCCAACGAATCGTAAATAAATGCCGCAGAGTGAGACCACACAGACAATGCACGCTGCAGTAACAGATATAGACAAATATTTTTAATAAGTGGATAGAACAGCCCTGAGGGCTTCCACTTCTTCTTCTACCATTCTACCATTCTACCACCTCCGGGGGCAGGCAAGCACGTGCGTCGTAGTCCGCAGTCCGTAGTCCCTGGCAACCTTGGGGTTCTGTTTGGAATTTTTCAGATTTTGCAATAAAACGTATGGCTGAGCAATTGCGCTGCGGACGAGTAATTTATAAACACTCTCCCCGAGCTGTAAGCTGCCTTTAAACAGAAAATCCTTTATTTTTCTGATGATGTTGCTGCTATACTTGTTGTTGTGCTATACTAATTTCCCGTACAAACATGAAACAGCCCGACTGCATCCATCCCCTTCCGAGACACACACACACACACCACACCCCCTCCCTCACAAGGTGAGTCTGTGAATCGCTTTTAATTCCGATTTCCGCGTAGCTTCCCCTGCAATATTTCGGGGGTTGCTGGCTGGATGCGGTTGTGGATGTGGATGCGTTGCCATGGAGGGCACGACGAGTTTTCCCTTTTCCTACAGCGGTAGCTGCTGCCTTTCCCCTCTTGCGAAAGATGTTGTTTTTTTTTCCAGCTCGCTTAGTTAATTTCCACTGCAGTGCAAGTTGATGCACTGCATTCAAAATGAAATCCTCGACGGACTATTTGTCATTTTTGACAGTTCAAACTGTTTTCCGAGGGAACTGGCGCGGCGAGGGGAGTGCAGTTTTTCGACTTTTCCGCAGAAATTGCGGCTTATGGTGGGACATTTATTTTCCTCCTGCTCCTGCTCCTGCTCCCCTCTCCTAGCACAACTCAACTTTATAGTCCCCTTGCGTCGCAACTTCTGTTGTCAACGCGATCTGCTGTTGTTTGTAATTAGAGCCATCAGAAGATTTGAAAGTTCCCTGGGCCAAAATGCTTGGAAGTTTTCAGATTCAAAATTGGGCAAAAAGTATTTAGAGTTTTTTCCATATGCAAAAAGTGGGCTACGGTCGAACTTTAGGCCTCTTTTGATTAGTGTCGATATCAACTAATCTTAGATAACTTTTGATGTTCCTTGGCTTGGCCTCAAAGAAGCTTTCGTCATTCATTCTCCCATGCTCATAAATCGTACTTAATCTGATTAATTTCAAAATATTTGCCAACTAATCTCTTCCGATTTTGCGGAAAGCAAATACGCAGCGCTCATGTTCCCAGGGGGTAGCAAGAGATTATAATCAAATCATGTCGTAAATTGTCACAACTCTTTCCTCCCAGAAAATCTTGCACCGAGGACGAGTATTAACGCCTTGAGTCCATTTAATGCGTCCTGGCCTGGCCCCTGGTCGGGGCAATCATAAATCACATTACCCAATATAATAGACCGGGCGAGCGGACATAAAAATGAAATTGAAAACGAAATTTGCATTCAGCTCTCCACATTTAGAGCACATGACAAAATTCGGCTTTAAGTACGCAACAATCAAAAATTATGGTTTTATGGGGAATGGAATTGTGTGAAGGAAGAAGAAGGGTTGGGTTCTTCTCCCAGAGGATTACGAGCATAGCGCAAGGAGCCACTCGGCACTCCCCTCGAAACTGGCAACAGTTGCGAATCGAATCGAACCGAACCGAACCGAGGGCAGCAGCCACAAATGGTCTTCATTTCTATTGTCAATTGTTGAATGGCATTGGGCTCCCCCCAAGTGACGCCGGCGCCGTGGCTGCCATTGCCCATTAAAAAGTTTCTGTCAAGTTAAATTACCAAAAATTGCAAATTGCTTGGATTAAACACGAAAACGAACACGGACAAGGACATGGCCACTTTCACTTCCTGTTGTGGGTCCCCGGACCAGGCAAGGCAAGGCCAACCAGACCCCAGACACCAGACCAGACCAGACCAGACCATTGTGTGGCCAAAGGATTCCATACACTCAATATAATTAAGGGTGTGAGCCCCCAGTTCCGACTCCCGAATACTGAGCCTTGGGCCCTGCGCTTTGAGTCTCCTCCTTCCCAGGAAACTTTGTGTCCAGGCAACAATTTTTGTTGTATACTCAACATCCTCGTATTGTGTGGTCCGAGTTGTTGCCTGAATTTGTCGCTTGCCATTCCGAATTGTATGTTAAATTAAATTTTACCACAGAGACCAGTGGAGAGCAGAGCCCGCCCGGGCTGGCTTCACTGGCTTCACTGGCTTGACTGGCTTGTGGCATTAAGTTGTCTGTTTGTTGAGCTTGACAGATCTTTCATGTGATGAGGTCAAATGGGATGGGGACGGGGACGGGGATGGGCACGGCAGCCAGAAGTTTGTTTGCCCAGTGTGCTCCTGGCCATAGATATAGCCATATGCAGTTAATAGTATATAATTTGGAGATGTTTGGGCTGCTGCCTCCCCCCACTCTCCCATGTTTCGGGACTGTTAACCCCTCTTTTGGCTTTTGCTTTGTTTGTAAACTGACCATTTAAATATTTTTATGTTTATTTCAACAAAAAGTTACTAAAGACGCCTTTCCCCTTCATTGCAGGTAAATACTTTGTGACTATTCCGCTCCCACTACTCCGATCTCTAATCAAGTGCGTGAGTAAAATGTCTCAAGTGGACCCCCTGCCCCTACCCCTGCCCCTGCCCCTGCCGCTGCCACGGCATTCATTGCAATGGCAATCAGCTGGCTCCTGCTGCTCTCCTATAAATCAATAAAACAATGACGGCGAAGATGCTCCTCCGTAGACCTATTTTCATGAAATGAACAAGACTTGCTCCCCCCCCACCCTGGCAGTAATGCCCCACAATATATCACTCGACTATTCGGCTGATTGTCATCGCTTAAATGGCCAGCAGAGCAGAGCGTTTTATTTAACTGCCAACAGTGCCGGTGCCCCTACACACTCCCAGCATGCGTAGTACGTAGTACGTAGTACGTACTATATGTGTAGTACCCACTGTAGCACTGTAGTTGTGCTACAATATGTGGAATTGATGTCGAGTGCGGTTGCCCAGGAATAAATAGGAGGCAGCGCTTTAATTTAATAGGCGCACATGAGACTCCCGCCACATAAAAACCAATTTCGCGTAAGTGATAAAAATGCAATGAGCATTCGCCTCCAAGTCCCACACGACTGCCAGAGAGATGATGATTGGGATTGGACTTGGGAGTGTGATTGCGATTGGACTGGAGACGATGGCGCTGGCAATGATGGGGACAATCATCAGCTGGTGACGCAGACAGCAGCTCTGACTATGAATTAAATTTACGATGGTGCAGAATTAGTTTTGACACACATCTCCTAAAGAACGAGGCGGCGCCATTAAACTCTGTGGCCAGGCCACAAATGGAGAGAGTAGCGGGTGCTCTAGAATAAAACACTTCTTGTCCTTATTTTAGTTGCTTAATTTGTACGCCAGCCTCAGCGGAAGACAAGCGCCACCAGATTCCGAGAAGAGTAGGAAGGGACAGTGCGACAGAGTTACGGAACGGGGATTATCGTGTACGGAAAACACGAGCGATGAAACAATGATTAGAGTGACCAAATAACATTTCCTACGAAACGTCTCGTAGCTTAGATAAATTTTGCATTTCATTTAAATGCATTTTTCTTGAACAATTTATTATTTTATGATCGCCTCTTGCCGAATGTTGTCACGAGTGCGATACTCGGTTGGGCTGTCGTGAGTATCACGCTGCCATGTCTAGGAATGTTTCGCTTTTCCATTCCATCCAGCTTTCAATCATCATCAATTTCACATAAAAGTGTCGCCCACTCGACGCAGAGACTGGCAGACGTCCCAGCCCAGCCCAGGCTCCATGCGCTTCGCTTCTCCTGCTTCTCCTGCTTCTGTCTGCCTCTGGCCTCTAGCCTCTGGCGACGTAATGACGAGATCATATCGACAACTGGCAGTCACACTCATGGAGCCCTCCCTCTCCAAGGCGTGTACTTTTTCCTTTAGCTGCTGATGGTGGGTGCTGCCTCTGGCTTTTGTGTAATCGTGAGAGTCTTGTCATTGTCATTGTCATTGCTGATGTTGTGTCTGCGCACTTTTCAAGTTCAATTCCAATTCCAGCTCTGCCGGTTCCAGTTGCAAATCAATCAGAGAGGGGGGAAGTCAGTCAGGCAGTCAGTCAGTCAGTCAGTCAGTTAGAAATGGCAAATGACCAGCATGGCATGGAGTGAAGACCCAACCCGACCAGAGAGACGATGATGGTTCGCTTTATGGGTGACGGGACTGCTTGTCATATTTCCTGTCTGCAAAGTGTTGAATGAAAGTTTTATGGCCTTTTGATAGTCCTCGTTGATAAGAATAGTATGTATATCGTATTGAAGTTGGGCTTACGATTATATTACAGGAAATCACACGGCAGGTTTCTCGATAACTATGAGTATTACTGGAAAGTTTTGCCTGCAGCCCTTCTACGTGTATTTCCGGCTATCTTCTGCTTACTTACCAATTCCAATATCGAATCTTCGATTTGCAGGATTGCACAATCCCCGCCCCGGGCCCCAGACAACTGTCAACAAATTGACGCCGAAAACATGCCCCGCAACCACTGTAATTACCCAGTTGCCAGCAACTGCCATCAATGGCTCAGTCCGAGAAAAGCAAGGCGCTCCAAACCCTGCCCTGCTGGAATCGATGAAGAGGTTTACATGGAAAGTGACACATTTGTTGAAATGTGGAAATACTCGTGAATTTGTGTTCGGGGGAACACTTTTCGCCCGCGGACTCTCCTGCGGCGGTCGGGGGGAGGGCGTGCCAGGCGTTCCCTGACATAATTGAAATTGACATATTTCATTGTCGGAGCGGAGCTGCAAGTGAAATTGCCAAAGTAAATTTTCAATTTTCATCAAATTTGTATATGTATGGTGGGAAGGGGCAGGGGGAGGGGCAGGGCAGGGGCAGACGCATTGATTTGCTTTGATTCTGATTCTGATTTGAATTCGGATTCGGGTTCGGCTCGGATTCTGCTTTCCGTTTCATCGCCCGCTGCCAACGGTTTAGGCTTTTATTTGCCATTTTGCTTTGTTGTAAGCCGCCGCAGGGTTGCGCCACCGCCATGAAGGGAGCAGCCAGCAGGCAGGGGTGGGGTGGGGTGGGGTGCATCAGCCTCTGTCTACGAGTATAGTATGTTGCGAAGAGCCTTCCAAGAGTGTCCGTCACTTTGGTGGCCCCCCCGCCTTCGGGCCGCTCACTTTTTTGTATCGCCCCGCAGTCGAACGCGTTGAGCCTTGGCGGGGATTTTTTGCAGCTTTGAACGGATTAGCCACCCGGGGAGAGATTCTCACTCGCTGCTGCTGCTGCTGCTGCTGCTGCTGCTGATGATGATGATCGGATTTTGGGAAAGTTTGAAGTTTTCTTAAAGCGGAAATGTCAGCGAAGTGTGCAAAGATGGGTATTCCGACCCAATTGCGTTCCAACCATTTTTTCTACAGTTCTACTGTAAAGTTTTCGATTCAGATTCAATTGAAATTGGTAACGCGCTCCTTTTGTACGCTTGACTGGTTGGCCTTTGTTTTGGCCATTTCCCTTTTTCAGTCAAACAATTTCCACCCTGGGTGGACCCACACCACACCGTCCAGGGAGGTCCATAAATTACAATGCCCAAAGAGGGCCAGGTATCTGGGTCAGTTTTTTATTGTCTATGGGGTGGAGCGGAGTTTCTTTTTTTTTTTTTTAATTTCAACGTGCAATAACAGAAGTGGCACAAATTTAAATTTGCTCCGCAAAAGTCAGCGGACAAAGCTGTTGCATACCATCGCGACTCCAGTCCGGTTGCTTCATTAAAACGAAAGTGGGCTGCACTCCTAATGAGATGCAGCTCAGTGTTGTAGCTTGTAGCTTGTAGCAAGTGTAAACAGAGGGCTTTCGGCTTTCCGCTTTCCGCTATGCGAAGGGAGAATGAAATGCGCATATTAAATGAAAGTAAGTCGGCCCGATTGCCGTTCTTCGGCCAAGATCTGAAACTAAAGTTATTCAGTGCTGATTCCCAACTGGCAGTCGCTGATATTTCCTGATGGTTTTCCATATTACGTACAAGGCCGTAACTGGGGTATCTTAACTTTGAACTGCTTCGGAATTCAGAATCTAAGGGCTCTGTCGATGGTGTTGTTCTGTTCCATATTGTTGGAGGGTCTGATTAAAAAGAATTTCAGAACTTTGGTGGTCTGATCTTTTTGTACACCGTGTGGAGCTCCCGGGCCTCGCTCTTGAAGTTTGATTTAATGTCGAGCTTGAGCTTCTTCAGCAGGCAGATGCGGTAGTTGTAGGTCTCCTTGAGCACTTCCAACTGGTTCTTGTACTCCATTTTTGCCGCGCGACGGAGTATGGCGCGCACAACCGTTCTTGGCGCCGAAGACAATTGGGATGAACTGAGGCTATCAGAGAATCGGGCAATTGGGGGAATTTGAGTATTAGTTTCAGCAGGGAACAGTCATACATGAAAGCATTTACCTCGCGGTGGCCGCCGAGAATGAGGATGTCTGGCTCAATTCCTTCAGTACGGCTTTCCAGCCTCTTATATTTTCATCATCGAAGACAATGTCAGCCGCCTCCTCGGCTTCCTCTCTGTCTTGCTCTCGTTGCTTCTTTTCCAGTGCCTTGATTCCATCCAGAAATTGTTCCATATCCTCTTTCATCTTGACACTATCCACTTTCCACTTTGCTGCCTTCCCTTTTTTTGGCTTTTTCACCTTCTTTTCCGTCATCGCGACCTGTTCCATGCCAGTGGGTTCAACGTGCTCCGTCCCCGCCTGGGCACTGGGCTCAGACATGGTTCCGCCTTCTTTGATCTCTGGCTGAGGGCTCTTGCGACTGGACTCGTTTCCTCTTCTGGCCTCTTCCATTAAAACGTTTAGCTGTGCTCGTTTTTTCTCTTCTTTGGCCTGTTTCTCTTTCAATTTCCGTTCTTCCCTGGCCATTGCGGTCTCCTTTTTTGCCTGTTCTTTAGCCTCTCTTTCCTTTATTTTGGCCTTCTCCTCCGCTGTCGTGGAGTGTTCTCCATATGTTTCAGATAGTTCTTCGTTGGCCTGTCCTTTCTCGATCATTTTAGTGGCTTCTTTTTTCTCGGGTTCTTCGCTTGCAAGGAGCTCTCTGGCCTCATCTTCGTTTCTACTGGACTTGTCCACTTGGTCCTCGGTGTGTTCCGTTTCCTCTGCCTCGGCATTTGTTCGAGCATTTGATTCATTTTTGGGCCTTTCTACTGGGGTCTGTCCCTGTTCTATCTGCTGGATACTATTATCAGTTGGGGAATGATCTCCTCTGGCAACCTCCGCCACCATATTTGGCTTCTCCTGGTTCTGCATCGTCCTTGGACTTTTTTCAGCCAATGTGCTATTATCCCGCATTGCGATGTCCATTCCCCTAACGAAGTCTTCCATTCCCGAGGCACTTGCCTTGGTCAGTGTAATGAATTCATTCGACATTTCCATGCTCATGGCTTGTGCCTTGGCCTGACCCTCGCTAAGTGCTCCTCGTGCTTCCATCTTGCAAGTTGATTTTCTGTGTGTTTTGTGAAAAATTAACCTTGATTTACATTACATAAAAAGACTGGGATTTGGAATGTGAGTGGCAGCTCAAAGGCTTTGCTTTGGCCTTTAACTTTTGGCGTTTTGTTTGTTGTTTGGGAGAATGAAATTCCTGCCTACTGAGCGTATATCTTCAAAGAGAAACCGACCTTATCCACAGGCCCGAGGCGTTTGGGATCCGATCCCCCGGACAATCAAGATTCCGAAATTATTTGCCAGTAACTTTGGAGCGCCCCTAGGTATACCATAAAAAGGAGTCAGGGATGGAGTCCAATCGGGGGAGGCACTCTTATCGTCTTCATTTATTATGCAAAGTTTTCCAGCTGCTGAAAACTTCCGTCCAATTGCATTCGAAGGCCTAGAAGCTGACTCGGAGATGGGAGCAGGCCTTGGTAGGGAGTCAAATGCGACATTCATCAAAGTGCCACGAAACATGAGACCGAGGCCGAGACCGAGACCAAGGCATGCAATGCCATATTCATGCAAAATTAGTTGGGGATTTTCCAATTTTCAGAGCTGGAGTTGTGGAGTTGTGTGTGTTTTGCGGCTGTGGCTGTAAAATTTTAATAAATTTCTTTTGGGTAACTGCTGTTCCTCGTCCTCACCATCTGCCACTCTGTACTCCGGAGTTTATAATGCAACATTTGCGCAACGAGCAACATTTTTTGGAGGAATAGAATGGTTTTGCGTCTAGACAACGCCCGGGGCGGAGATTGGGCTGGGTAGAGGCAGAGGTCGGGGTGCTGGGAAGCTGTGGAGCTGGTGATGCGGCAATTTCGCCCCACGTATCAGTCTGTGTCTGGACGATCCGCGTGTGCACGGACTGAGATTTGGAGAACAGTCTGCTGCCACTTTCGGGGGTCGTACATTGCTTAGCAGGGCCCCAAGAAACATGGTCTGCATCTGTAATAAGCCTCGCCTGTGACTGGGCCTGTGACGGGGCCTGGGCCTGGGCCTGGGCCGGGGGCTTGGCTGCATTGCTGCAGGGGGTGGTGAAGCAGCTTAGGCAAACAGCTGATATATTCTCGTATATGCTGCGAATGTATTGGCAGTGTTCGCCTAGATCCAAGCTTGAAATAAATTAACAGGGTTTTCACCCCGTAAATTTGGACCTGGAAATCGAGATAAAACGGACGACGTACATATGTATGTATGCATGTAAATACATAATTTCTGGCAAGGGCTGCATTTGTGTTTGCACTTCAATGGTACTGGCATTGGTGGTACTGGGACAAAATTCCTTTTGGACTTTGATTGGCATACCTCGGCTAAGCCGCCACACTAACCGCATTCTTGCACATCTTGCCGCCCCCTCGTCACATCGTACTTCCACTCAACCGATCAATGGGAATCAATGTGCCAATGAACTCGTCAATGAACTCGTTATCAACGCTTTCTGGCGGCTAATGGAATGGCTTTTCCATCGTTACTCGACATGCAACCGATGGCAGAGCACGCGAACCAAAAGGTTCAACAGCCATGCACCCCATGCACCCCATGCCCCACCCGCCCTGCCACATAACGGCCCGCACCGAGCTGTCGGCGCTTCTACCCGTACTTTGTTGTGCATACGAAATTATTACAATTATTATTATTATTATTTTTTCTGGTGATGTTTATGCTTATATTTGGAGTCACGCACGATGCGGCAAACTGTCAGCCCAGCCGGAAGCGGAATTGATTATCGGCGCTACTGAATCCGGCTTTTAGCTCCTATCCCATCTATCCTTCGTCTTCTGTTTCGTTTCGTTTCATTTCGTTCTGCTGTGCTCTGTTCCGTTCCTTTCCCGCCCCAGCCACCTCCTGCTGCGGCAACCTCTCTTTTATCTGTTTGCGTGCCGTGTTGCCGTTTGGCTATTATGCATTTCAAATTCGGCGGCATTTAATGGCTCAATTTGGTTCCTGGACTCAATTTTTCGGCTCTGCGGCAGTGCACAGCGGGCCGAGAGCCGCCAGAGGAGAAAGCGCTCTGTAATTAGCTCACAGAGGGTGCAGGTTCTGGTTCTGTTTCTGGTTTTGGTTGGGTTCGTGTAGAGTCCAATCTAGATTGCCCTGAATTTTCCTGTTCCCAGCTCGAACTCGGCTAAATTTCAGTATTCAAAATTTACTCAACATTTCAACACAAGCTCTCCAGTTGCGACGTAGAAACTGATTTTATTTGTTGGGAAAGCTGCTCGGCGTTGCCTAATGAGTGACAAAAAGGCGTAAGTTGAACGAAGAGCAATCACACCCAACGAAGGCCCCGAGTTTAAGCTGGAGAGGAGCACAAGTGGGCACCATGAAGCCGCTCAAAGTAGCTCTAACTCTGGCCCTCTTTGGTAATCATGGCACAGCAAATCACCCCATGTTCCTATCGTTCTTTTTTTGGACCTATTTCTTCTTGAAGCTGCACGCGCGGGGCTCCGCCTGGTATCCAGTTCAGCACGCCCGTCGGGGCACCCGTAACCAAGCGCAAGATGCTGCTCTACAAGCGGCTCCTGCGCAGGGAGCTGCTCCGCGATGACCAGACTCCCCAGCAGATCCGTTCGGCCCGGCAGCGGAGGGAGCGGCAGGAGGCCGAAGGGATGTTTCCAACGTCCTGAGCAATCCAACATCCAGCAGGATGAGCCAGGACGAACCGGGGAGCTGTCTGGAAATGTGATTTCTTTATTCTGATTTTGGCATTACCTAGTTTTAGCTAAAGTTCATTATTGGAAGCATTGCTCAAAATTAAATTGTGAAAAATAGTAAAAAAAGAAGTGGAAAACGATTAGTTTACATTTATTGGTACCCATAAATAAATGAAATGGCCAATTATTTAAGCCCAACGATCAATTAAACTGTTGGTATAGCGTTGGTAATTCCAATCATAACCATTCTGTATTACAATCAGCCGTGAAAGTTAAGCTGAAATTTAGCGAAATCAATTTGCACAACGGCTCGTTCCAGGCCCAGCCAAACGCAAAATGGCCAAATTGACAACCAAAACAATTTGTTTAGCCAGTGCACTTGTGCGGTTTCAGCAGTTTATAATAAAGTGTTTGCCAGACATACAGCACAATCAAAATAAATACCAACAGCAGCAACAGCAACAGGAACAGCAACAGCAACAAAGTCTGCCAGAGAAGCATCAGCATGCCAACCCCCCTCGAAACGGACAAACAGGGTAAAAAACAAGCCTTCATTCAGAGTGGCATAGCAGAGGCTTTTAATTGCCATCAGGCGCCAACTGTTACCATTGTGAACTCAGTCAACTTTTATTTACTTATGCAAATTCGTTTTGGCTTTTTTCGGGATGCAAAATATTTGTCACAAAATTGGCAAAAGCGAGCCGAAACTTTGCCCGTTTCGGAGGGGAAAACGCAAACATTTTGACGACTGGAAAAATAAATTGAAATTGTTTTGACAATTGGCAGGGCGATCCGTGTAAAAATGGACAGAAAAATATTACAATGGCATTTTATTTTGGCTCATGGCCTAACTAATTGGCTCTCCAACGGACATCCCCAGCAGGGATGCTCCGCGACAGAGAAACTTTTGCCAACTTTGGCCATTTGTGGCTTACACATTATCCCAATTGTTTTGGGAGCCCATCGAGGGCTTTCGTAACGTGCTTCCAGCAATTGTCACGTTTTCCCCAAAAGAACCGGCCCCAGAGGTCAGCTGGGTTAAATAGTTTTTATTGTTATAATTATGGGCTATAATTATTGGCTAACTATATGAAGCAGAGCTCATACATCGGAGCTAAATGCGTAGAGGATTGCAGTGAGATCTCTTTTGTTTTAGCGTCGTATTGAGAATGTCTTGAAGGTGGGACTGACCAAGGGCTCGTTCAACGAGAAGACGGCCTTTTGGATCACTGAACGAGGACTGCCCTTGTGCTGGAGCCAGTACTTCCTGGGGCAGACGGAGAGGGAGAGAAAGAGATGAATAAAAGCGGGCGGACCTACCCATTTGCGCTCACATTTCAATTATGTTGTCCAAATTTCCTTCCATCACGCCCTTTACAGATCCCTCATCGGTATTCATGCACCACCCGACCAGTCCCAGCTGCGTTGCCTTCTTATTTGTGTGCTGGAGAGTGACAAATAGTGCCATTAGGTAATTAAAAGAGTACTCAATAAATTACCTTCCGGAAGAAGACACCTGCCAGTGAAGATTTAGACAAAAAAGTTAGAGTTAGAGTCAAGAAAGTTGCACTTTCGGCATTTCGTCTTACCCTGGACCTTGCCAAAGACCTCGAACTTGCAGCCAAAAATGCTTTCCTCATCGGGGCGTTTCTTGCCTGTGACTGCTTTTCCCTTTAGAGGTGTCACAGGGGGGGTGAATTTGGATTTGGTAATTTTGTTATTCATTTTAGAGGATATTTGTTCCGGTTGGTGTCAACTTGGAAATATATGTGTAACTGATTATACGGGAAATTTTGTAGCTCATATAAAATTGATGGGAATGTCAAGGGACCTTGATTATGGATTCCGTAGATCCTTAACCAGTTTACCCTTTTATTCTTACTCCGTGGGTTAAGTTCTTCGTGGCATTTTCCAGCTATGCAAATTGAATTTTTCCTCCATTAAAATTAACAACAATTTTTCACGGCAATTTGACAACGCAGATTCTCCATCATATCAGCGAGTAAGTACTCGAACACTCCTCGAAAGCAGTGCGAGGACCTTTAGCTCTGTTCTCGCCTTTGCCACTTCCGGTTCGTTAAGTTTAACGGCTGCCCACGAGAAAAAGAGGGAGGCGGAAAAGAAAGCTGCCAAAAGGTATCCCAAGGAGACGGAGGAGATGACGCACATTTGAGAGTGTTCCGAGTGTTCCGAGTGTTCGCCGAGCTCGAGTCGAACTTCCCGCCTCAGTCAGTGAAAGCTTCAATAAAACGCTTGATGCCAGAGGCGAACTGACATTTTCCATTAAGTGCAGACAGCTCCAGAACAGAACGGAGAAAACAGCAGAATGCCAGCGGCTCATTTGCCAAAGGGCAGGGCAGGGCGGAGGCGGAATTTTATTTCCCTGGGAGCTTCGTGGTGTAGTCACGTGTGGGTCGTTCTTTTTGTGGACTGTTGATTATGATGATGCCCTCCGCTGACCGACTCTGTCCACAAACGCGTCCCGGTCACGGCAGGCGAACATTTGGGCTGGAACTATCTGAGAAGATCCCGGTAATAGAAGCCCACCAAACTGTTCCTCAGACAACATCAAAGTGCCATCAACAGGCAGCCGAGGGCTGCACTTCCTTCAACGATACGGCTTTGTCCGTCTGTCCTATCCTGCCCTGTCCTGTCCTGTCCTGTCCTGTACCCCGTCCGTCCTATCGGTTGCAGCAACTTTTCTTTCGTACAATAACATTTATTTCGAAGATATTCCGAGGCGCGTTTCCCCTCAGCGTTCTCTGCCCGACGGTCTTCTTCTCTTTGGGGACATTGTGAAGTGTTGCCAGTGTGGAAAAGTAATCAAAAGATATTTTGTCAGCTTCAGCAGCAGACGCTGACAAAACTTTCCACTCTCCTCTCCACAATTCTTAAAGTGCGAATTGAAGAGCGACCCTCAAAATGACGAGCAGAGTCCCAACTTGTTCCCAACTTTTAGTCAAATATTGGATTAGCAAATTGACATTTATGCAATTTGATTTTCCCACTGCACCACTGCACAGGGCAAATTAAATTGTCGCCCCATCAGCCCCCCAGATCGCCCTGCGGCGGCTTTTTCCAAACAGTTTCACATCTCAAATTCGTTACAAATTGCTGACACAATGGAAATTTGCATAAAATTTCCATATGCGTTTGTCGAAAGCGAACGCGGAGCGGGAACCCCGCACAAATTTGGCTTAGTCTCCGCACAAAAAGAAAAAAAGGTGAAAACGGGCAAACATTAATGAACAGTCAAAGAGGGTTCGGGGTACGCGTACGTATTCCCGTGTGTGGAATAAAATCTTGTTCAGTCCAAGGTGGTGGACAGGGTTCTAAATGGGGACTCGGCCTGTTTGTGATTTTGGTGTGGAGCTCCCAGTAAGGGTTGGGGAAGAGCCGAGTTAATTTATTTCCAACTTCAGCTGCTAAAACGGACAGACCCAGAATCTCCTTCTTTTCGCCGCCCCCAGTTATCAACCAATTTTCATTAAAGCTTATAAATTGTTGTTTATGACTGGCCCATGCCACAGACATCCATAGCCATAGCCCCAAGGGGATCTCTGGCTATGTCTCGCCGTGGGCTTTTGACTTCATTTCATATTCATGGACGCCAAAATGCTGATTCCGCATCCTCCGAGCTGCAGTTGGTCCTTTGTCCTCTGCCACCAGGGCCCACACTTTCGTTTTTTGTTTTCGTTAATAAACTTTGGCAATTATCTTTGCTGCCTGTTGCTGTAAATTACAGGGATTTGCTGCGGAAAGTTTGGGCGGAGGAGAAAGGGCAGATCTCGTAGCCATAGATTAGGAAGCGCTCTCAGTTTCATTGGAATGGATGAAAATCTTCATCAGAGTTTCGAGTGTATATTTTGCAGCATTTAGCAGCTGGTCGGAAAAGCCAAATCATGATTATGATGTACTGAAGGGCGTAGCGCAGCTCATAAAAATCAAAAGCATCCTGTTTCCGGCTGCCTTTTTATTCAGTTAGCAGTCAGACATCGATTTCATAAAGCGAAAAATACATATGTGCAAAGGGAAAAGTGAAAAGTTGTGACATAAAGCCTGCCTCAATATAATTGCATTACACGTGGCTGTCAGCAGTGGAACGAAGAAGAGCAAATGGAAAACCCACCCAAACACAAGCCCAAAGGATGTTCGAGGACCGCAAGGACCGCAAGGACCGCACGACCGCAGAGAGACCACAATCCTCACCTTGGCAGGGGATCCCAACTGGGATGTGAAAATTCTTTTGGCAGGACGACTTTTCATATTTTCTACAACCCGTCAAGGCGTGAATCTCTATGTACTCGTGTGATGTGTGGTGTGTGGGTGTGGGTGTGGTGTGTGGGTGTGGGTGAGGAGTGGGTTGCCTCGAACTTTACTCTTTCAGAGAGGGTGACAGACAGAGGGGGGGCGAGATTTCGGTGGAGCTGGCAAATCCTTTTTCTTAACCCAAGCGTGCACATACTTCAAGTGTGCTTAACCCACACTTAGTCTCTGTCTGAGAAACTCCATACCCATTACCCTTCCTGTCGCAATCTTCCATGTTTGATGTGGTCTCCGCACCACAAATCACCAGGGCGGCAGTGTCTGGAATTTATGCTCCTTCTTAGGGAGCTCAGAGTGTGCCTGTGACTGTCTCTGGGTTAGTGTTTGTGAGTGCCGGTTATGTCTGTGATTTGGCCCTGCCACGCCCTAATCTGACACTGATGTACACCATTTTAGTGGGCGGCGAGTATCCATTCAAGCGTAACGCGACGAAACGCGATGAGTTGGGACATCTTCCACTCTGGAGAACGGTACGCTGCCCAGGGCCAGCCAGCCAGTCAGCCAACCCGTCACGGGACCCAACCAAATAGCTGAACCATTAGCTTTTCACATTTTCTTGCTCACTTTTCATCTTGCGCTGCTCTCTCGCCTTCATTCATTTTTTGGGACTCGATCTGGGTAAATATTTTCACAAAATTTCACGCTTGATTGGAACGTGAAACGGAACAGGAAATCACTTATGACATTTTGTGCTGTTCTATTGATTTTTGATTTGGGGTTCAGTGCTTTTTTTGGGTGACAAAATGTTCAAATGTGAATTGACTTTAAATTAAAAATATGTATGAAATTTTCGGTGCACAAAGGCAATGAATTATGGATGATAGCTAGGAAATGCCAGCTGAAATATGTTCGACTATTTAAACTTGATTGTGATTGGGGAACGCCTTCTTGCATGTGTCGACAACATTCCCAAATTAAAAGAAATCATCAAAGTCAAATATTTAGCTACAAGGTGAATTTGTACAATTAATTCGGACTAGCAGGGTCTGATAGGAAGGCCTTTGAGCGGCGCTTGGACTACAAGTAAATAAAGGAAAGCTCGCGAGACAAACATTCGATGTTTGTAATCACATGAAAGTTAATTGAATATTTTCAATTTATAATTTAGAGTTAGAAAGTGTTCAAATTTTCGGCTTTCAACTTTACCCACATCCTTAGGTCTGCATCCTCCATTGTCCGCCGCTACAAAGTCCCTTTTCCACGTTGCCTTTGCTGTTTGCCATGTTACATGTTACTCGCAGGATACGATACTCAGGATACAAGGTAGCATCTGGGTAGCGGCTGCTTTGTGTGTGTGTGTGTGTGTGGCTAACGGAATCTATCCTGCAGCAGGCCCATACAATAAACTGATTGTAACTGCAATCAGTTAGCAGACAAAGCAGGAGCACTCGACTCGAGCCAACTACAAAGGCGACGACTGTTTGCCAAGTTGTAATAAAGTTTGGTAAACAAGTTGCCTTACAAACACACACACAAAAAGCAGAAGGAGCTGAGTGCAATGGAAACCGAGTATCCCAATCTGTAGCTTCTATGCATAAACCATTCCTATTCCCATTCCCAAAACCCATTCCACTCCACTCCACTCCACTCCCATTTTCACTGCCATTACTCACACTCTCGTTTCCTGCCAACTTCGAACTTATCTTAAATTCTAATGCAATTGCAACAAGCAAGAGCAAATTTTCAGGTGTGCTCTGCAAAGATTTCCCACTAATGCTCACTCTCCCTCTATCCTTTTGTCTATTTGCAGGTATGTGTATCCGCCATTTTGTTATTCCTTTGTGATACGTGCACGTGTGTGCTGGCGTCTGTGTAAGTGGCAAACAAATGCACCGCTCTACTGCCGTTCCACCATAGAAGATAATAAAGTACCCGGCAATCGGTAGCCCAAGCTCTCGGCCTGGCTAAGAGCGAAAAATGGCATAGCACACTTTTTGGCGTGCGGTACGTGCCGCTTATCAAATGCATCAGACTCACAGCCAGAGCGCAAAAGGTAAAGCACAAACAGTGAGAGAACTATAGCAACAATGAACATGTATGTACATACATACGAGGGTGTGCATACATATGTAGCTTACACTTCCCTTGGAGCTTTTAGGCTTGGCATAGAGCTTGTACAATCGAAACTATGCTAACGCGAGGCACCATTCACCGATAAAATCGATCCACGACTATATTTTACTAGTTTAATGGAATTATTCAGCTATATGTTTATTCTGCCGATTCTTCTTAATTTGAGAAGCATCAAAGTAGAAAATCGGATATTATTTTTTAATGAATTAAAAATAATGTGCAGCAAATAGCATTCGACAACAATGCGCGTAATTCTGAAAGAGTATTGTGGATTGGTCTGGAAGTTTCCCAAACAATCCTTTGCCACAATTTCCCCTGTTTTCTGCGCAGTGCATCAGTTCTGCAGTTGTTGCTCCTGCTGGCGTTGTTTGCCGGCTGCTCGGC